ATGGAAGCAAGTGAATGAAAACTGCTTGCCAAAACCCCTTGATGCACTGTTCTCTGCCTCATGCCCATGAAAGAAAATGACATTAAAGTCCAGTTGAAGGAATGTATGAGTGACTAGGAAAGTAACACTGTATTTGTATAATTTGTGCAATTTCTACAGAACAATATTTATTTTTTAAAAAGTGAAAAACTGGAAGGAAACAGTTCTATACAGTGCTAGAAATGGCACCAACAGAACGACTATTATGGTGTGGAGGAGGTGAAGAAGAGGAAGAGAATGTACCTTGTGGAGTTCAGGAAAGAGCTGGTGCAGGACAGCAAGCTGAAAAGGTAGCTTTTGGAAGTACACACACCAGCTGCTTAATTTTTGTTTGTATCCGGCAATTGAATGACTGTACTGACTGTGCAAGTGTGTAAGGATAAGCACAGATAGTAGACCAGACTGTTAAAATGGGCTAGAGAATAACTGATCCAAAACTGAACAGTGTGCTTGGTTTCAGATGAAGTTTGTGAATGGAGAGAAATCGGGGCGGGAGGGGATAGGGAACTGGACTCTGAAATGCACAACATGAGTCTGAATATCCAAAGGTGGATAATAATCAGTCTGGATTCAGTACAACTAGTAATTGAATCACTGAATCACAGAAAGGTTGAGGTTAGACGGGACCTCTGGAGGGCATCTGCTCCAAGCCCTCTCCTCAAGCAGGGCCACCTAGAGCAGGTTGCCTGTGAATAGGCAATTAATATGTGGTGACCACGCTCTCCTGCCTCCAGGATAAGAACAGCAATAGTTCTGGTAATGTGCTCTGGTAACTGACTTGCCACCCAGGATGGAGAGGGTTAAAGTCATGGTCTCAAGATCTGGTTTCTGCCCCAAAAGGAAACAGTTACAGGGTACGAATGAATGGATCTCACACAGGGCGCATCTACACTGGCGTTTGGTTCAAATCAGAAGCATGCTTTTGAACAAGGTTTCCTGCTAGTTGGAGTTATGTCAACATTTGCTGAGCGCGTGAAGTGGATTCCTTCTTGGTGACACTCAACCCAAAGACCCTTTCAGAGCATTCCACCTGCCAAAGGGCTTTCTGTCCATAGGGCCAGACTGGAAGTTATGCAAAGCAACCCTCCCACCCACTCCCAAAATACGTGTAGTGTGGACATTGAGTACTTGACACCAGAGGTTTTGCTCTGCAGATCTGTTGCTGTGGGTCTGCACTACGTGCTAATGCAGATGTAACCACAGAATGCTGATGGTGGCCCTGAAATGGACTCTGAACCACAAAACAATTGAAAATTGACCTGGTATATAACCAAAAGGCTGCAGCAGACGAGCTCTTTACCAGATCTGGCTTCCCTGAATGACCCTTTCTATGATCTCTGTTTCGTGATGAATTTAAGGATGCCAGTGAACTTCTGGAGTATGTGAAGTTTGCAGAAACTCTACAATCCAAAATGGGTAATGTTTACATCTTCCTCAAAAAAAAAGTCTGATAATAGCCTGTGCAATGGAAAGGTATAAAGTCACTCAATAAACTTTTAAAAGAGGAGACACATCTTGACTTTACAATTCTAAGGAGAAAATAACAGTAACTCAGATCTACTGCCTCTAGTAAGGTATCCTGTAAGGTTCTGGTCCAAATAAATAAAATGGGATATAGGATGCAACTGGGATAATTATCGTGAATAGGATTTCAGCCTGTCAGTATCTGGGAACTGTGGAATTCAAGGTTCCTAAAAGAATATTAAGTAATGAATGTCTGTAATTAAAAGTATTTCAACACGAACCTTAATATTTCTTAAAAGATAAAAAAAAGACAAATCCCAAAGCCATCTCCTTTGAATTGCTGCAATGAGACTGAGCAAAGAAAAATTCTAAGAATGTCAGTAAAATTGTTTTAGGTTGATGTGAAAATCATCACTTACCTACAGTAGTTAAAATGCCATTGCGTCCCATCAGTTAATTATTTTTTCTTTTGTCTCCCCCTCCTTTTTTTCAGTGTCAGTATTTCAGACTTTGTTGGGATGAAAACTGAAACTGAAATAAGGGTATAGTTCATGTGTTAAGCTAAACTTCATTGTGATTTCCTATGGGAAGGTGGTTAAAACAATACTCCTACAACAAGCATGCAATACAGCTCAAAACAAAGGCAGGAGTAAGCAGGTATTTTGTAATTAATGATATTCCTATATCACCTATAGCAATTACCTTCTGTTGCATTATGGCAGGTAGTTTGACCATCTGTAAAAGAGAAGTAGAAGGAGAAAAGAATGAGAGGAAAATTTGATAAAAGAAGAGACAGAAAAGCAAGGGATACAGTCAGCACGAGCACTTGCCCTTGAGAAAAGCTAAGAGTGAAGACTAAATGTTTGATAGGAAATGGACTTGGAGCTGGGGTGAAGATGCCATCTTTGTGTCATGGGAAACAGGAGTTTGTCGACTTTCTTTAGACAATCAGGATTGTACCAAAAATACCTGATGCAGTCATTAGTCATCAGCTTTACAACAACAATTTTTACGGGAGACAAAGCTGAGAATGGATCTTGTTTTTCTTACAAGTTGAGGTGAAGTAGATCTGAAAGTGGCCAAAATAAACATGGCCCAGAAATTAGACATGGGGAAAAACAGCTCTCTTAATCTTCAGCTGTAGGTGATCTTTCCCTGCCAGTTGGGCTTACTGACACCTTCCTTCCCTTGCATTTTGTTCGTGAAGCTTGAGAGCCGTGAGGAATCCCTATGTCCCTCTCTTTCCTGCCCAGTCAAATTGTTCAGCCCCCACCAGTAGCCTGAAGGAAAATACAGAGCTGAGCTGGGTAGCTGGCGTAGTCAACAATGTGTCCCCAAAACACCCCTGATGCCCAGGATGCAAAACTTAATTTTCTTCACTGATACAACCAACTTTCAAAAGACACCTTGAATTCTGCAGTAGTTTGGACCTTGGGTGGTTCACAGGAGAATAAACAGAAAATCTGAATTCTTCTGTTTCTTTTTCAGTCTTTATGTTTCTTCTTTGCACAGCTTTTTCAGTGGCTCCTGACATGATACTGCCTGATTACTTCCGTGAAGATCCCATCACTATTTTCAGTTATTTCGTAAAGCAAGAAAATTTGGGAACATGGTTCATGGTTTTCTGTACCCTTTTTTAAACCTAGGTCTATTCTGTGTGCAGCACATTGCATTATTTAATGTACATCATTTAAATGTCTTTTTACATTATTTCAGTATAAATGAAAGCAGAAATCAAAGAATTTTGACTTTCTTGTTCAAACATAGTTTCCTTCTTTGTTAGAATGTTACAGAAAAGATACGAAGGTGGAAGGAATGGAGCATACTTTTTGGTATAAAGACACCTTTCTGTTTTTACCTTTATAGGCATGTAAGCAGTGCTAAACCTGTAACTACTAGGCTTAGTAAACTCATTCTATGGACTCATTTTAATTCTCTGTCTCACGGAATTCCCCCCTTAGTGATGGAAGATTTTCATTACCTAGTTTTAAATGATCATACTGTTATTCAGTAGATAGCCCACAAGAAGACCTTTGTGTCAATATGACCAGGAATGGGATTTGTCTGTTTCTATATAATGTCGTATTTAACTTACAGATCTTTTGTTAAATTCAGATTGAATATTTATTTCCGTGCAGTCTCTCTTTTTTGCAGCTGTGCTGTATCAGGACCTAATTCTAGGAAGTGAAGAGCACAAGGTCAAACCTCATTGAAATGACCATTATTTGTGTTTGTCAAGTATCTTTGTACTACTCTATCATCTCCCAGCTGTGAAGAGAAATTTTTAAAGCTTAACCCCTTGTTCTGAATTAAACTTGTGATGTGGACTCCCCTCAGCTTTGTAAAAGTTAACTTCCAGAATCAGAGTAGAAAAATTTGTAGAAACATATTTTTATGTGAATTGAACCAAAACTCAAGATCGTTAACCTCTGCCTGGATTTGGACCTTTCAGTTTAGGACTACCTTGTGAAAATAACAAACATTTGAAAAGAAAGGAAAATCAGAACATAGCAGCCACCTTGAATTAGTTAGTCACTACAGTTTTTGTATGCTCAATGTGACTGTTATTTCCCCCCACAAACAGTTAAAACATATTTAACCTACAGCTAGGACTTCCTGTAGAAAACTTAGCTAAACAAAAGTACCTGATAAAGATTTTAATCCCCAATGCTGAATTTTCCTATATTGCAAGTTCAGTCCACACCACAAACTCAGCTTTCACATCATATTTGGGTCCTATTTTAGGACCATGATGTTTACCATCAATCGGTAAACAGGTATATATTGCTAAAGCTTGGCCAATGCAAATGCCACTTTACCAACATCCCTTTATTTGAATGACAAGGTCAGGTGTCTTGGGTTTTTAAACAAATTCAAAAATACTCTAGTAGTGTGTTGGTCTGTTGAAATGTTTGAAGTAGCTTACAATTTTACTTTTCTTGGACAGTCATGGAAAAAGTATAATTGATACTGACTGATCATAAAATAAAAATAAATATATGTAAGTTAAAAAATAAACCAGTTTTCTAACTCCTGTATTCCATAAAAATAAGAATGTAGCCTTTTATAAGGGACTGCCAAAAGAGCCATGAAAGTGCCACGCTTTCTCTGTAGACACAAAATTGGTAAGTGTAAAATATTCATATGATCTGGGAGGACAGGGTCACTAAGATAATACCCTATGGCAAGTTAGAATGAAAATACTAGTAATGAAAATGATTTTTTTTTTAGAAAAGAAAATGTGATAGTCCTTGACAAAATTATTACATTCAACTAATTTACATTTGAGTGTGCCTTAGTTTATCTCACATCTTTTACCACAGATAATAATTCTACAATAGCTAAAAGTAAGTGATGTGATTTTCAGTTATATTATACAGTGTCTAAAAAATGTCTGTGTTAATGCCTGTCATACAATCACAGCTGTTAGTTTTTTTAGTAGTATTTTGAAGACTCTCAGTCACTTCCAGCCCCCATACAAGCTCCTCCCACCCCCGTCAGCGTCCTCTCCGTCTGCGCTGGTTCTTGCTCGGGGGCTTCAGGAGACTTTCTCGATATTTCATGTTTGTGTGGAAGAGTCGGACCATTTCATGGTCTTTGTTATCCAATACTCTGGGCAGAAAGAGAGACGATTTCTGTGTCCTGCGAGTTTTAAAGCCCCTTCTGGGTCGTCCTTTCCCATTGATTGAGACATACCAGAGTCTCTCTGCACTGGCTTTGCGCTTGGTGCCAGCTCTGTTAGGTACAGTCCGGTAGAGACGGGATGCATAGGTGTTATAACCCAATTCATGGATCCTCTCCACGAACTCACACTCTGCATTATAATTTTCCTGAAAAGCAAACATGACAAAGTTTAAGAAAGACTATATGGGCAATAGCTCTCTTCTACCTCAATAAGATTGGGCTAAAGTCTTAAGCAAGACTCTATTTGGTTATAGGATAAAGACAGCAACACATGTGGTGAGAAAAACTCAGACTGGTGCTACAAAAGGCAAGCAGAAGAGAAGTGCTGAGCCCGAACTGCTGTGCAACAAGGTGCTGTCAGCAGCGTGAGCATACTCCGTAGGTCAGAGACAGAAAGAGGCCAAAAAACAATTTGAAAACAAAAAATGGCACGTGAATAAGAATTAATAGCTCTGCTGATTGTTCAGCTCTAAATTTAATTTTATCTAAATATGCCTGTGAACTGGAGAGATGATTTAATTACTGCCTATCAAATTTTGACATCTATTGAAAAGGTAAAATACTACAGTTTAATGTAAAATGTGGCTCTTTAATTGGTATATTAGTAGTTAGATACACCTGCAGTCTATTACATCCAGTTTGTTACAGAGATCTGAGCAGTAGACAACACCTTTATGAAGCTTCTTTGTTTGCTTCAGCATAACAAAGTGAAAGTACACCCTGCCCACCAGTGTGTTGCTCCAAAGTGCTAGGCTGCTCCTTTATCACAAACTGTAGGGGAGAATATGCACCCATCATGGGTGCTCGCATTTTACATAATCTGTCAAAATTTGCCCCTTTCATCTGGTCCTCAACTGAAAGAAAACAGTGTGCAAAAGCTTGGCAAGAGGAACTCCTCCCTCCTCCCTGGGAGCAGTAGAAACAGTGCAAATAAAAGGACCTCCCACATTGTACATCTTTTCTTAACTACAAAATCATCCTTGCTGTACCTGTGTGATTAAGTCTTCAGTATCTACCATGTGCAAAGCACAGAGACAGAGGGGAACTGCTACCACGGTCTTTACAGAGGTTTTTTATTTAGCATTGCCTCTGTGGAGGACATAGAAAGGGCACAGGTAGCCAGGCTGGGGCCAGAAACAGGCTCCATTAACAACATGTCTTTAATGCTGGTCACTCACCAGAAATGCTGATAGGCATTTAACAAGATTTTAAAAGACTCCACATGTCTCAGCTTCACAGCTGTAAAACGGAAGTGCCCTTCCTTGCGAGGACAAGGTTTTCATATGCTGTGGTGCTGGAGCCCACGCAACTACCATATGTAGGTAGATTTGTCCTGCTGTCTGCCTCAGTTCTGGTTGTAGAGGGTTTATCATAGAGGGTAAACCTAGAGGATTATCACAATCTGCTAAGGACACAAAGGAATTCTACAGATTCAACAAACTCATTTTATTGACATGGAAAAATTGGTGATCCAAGGGATAATGGAGGTATTCCAATACCATTTCATAAAATGCTCCCTGTATAATTATCCCCAGAGAAGTCAGTCTTACTTGAAATAGGGGCCTTGCACAGGTTCCTGGCACAGTAACATCAGTAAAATCATTGGTCAGTTTTTTCTAGGCAAGCAAAGCCAGGAAGTTTTTCCTGAGCTGAGCCCTCATCGTTTGCTTCTTCTGTGAAAAAAACTGGAGTGGAATAGCTTTTCCTGCTCTGAAATACAAGTCTGAAACAGCCTCTCTCAAAGTTGAGCTGGAACAGCAAAAATTATCTTTTCTAGTTGTACAGAAACCTTTCATGGCTGATATTCCTTGGCACGTGACAGCTGAACAAACTTCAGGATGGCCTGATGTTCCTCACACTAGAAAGGGAAGTCCAGGAGAAAAGGACTCTCTGGGATATCCTACTCTAGGCTTTTCTCCACTTTAGGAGAGGAGCTTTTTGCTCAGAATTTGTTTAGTCTTATTTGGATTCATTTAATTAATCTGGAGGAAAAACATACCTATTTTGAAGAAGAAAGAGAGAAAGATGAGAAAGAACTTGAAAATCCATCCTTCCCATTAATTTATCTGGGGCAGACAGTGGCTCTGAGCTGATGGAGGAGCTCCATTGAAAAAGATGCCCATTTTAATCAGAATATTAACTGGAAGCAGAGAAGTGGCCAGCCTTAGCTCTGGCACAGCAGGGCTAATATGTCCTCATTCCACTTCAGCTGCATTTTCCTTTGCCAAAATTGTTTGTGATCTGCTTCTCTGTACCAGCAAAGAACCATCATCTTTACACGCAGGCCCTTTAATCAGTGTGCATCACATGAGACACATTACAGAAGATGAGTCGTAAACACTATGAGAACATCCTTGAAAAGGTGGAGTAAAATACATTAAACCAGGGAGGCAACTGAGTTGATTGTGTCACCTACGTTGCATTCGCATGGAAAAAGCTCACATTGTTCGGGGATATATCATGCTGTTCAAATCAACAGAATTACATATAATGACTACTTAGAGGAAGCAAATTTCACATAGCCATATTTTACCCTCTTCAAATCTGTTTCCATACCACAGGATTCCTGGAGAAACTGCACAGTATGGCTGTTACACAGTAAGAGATCACAAGATTGCTAGGGATGTAATCAAAGACAATGGAAGAAATTCAAGTAGGTAGATAATGTGTATAGTATGCACACTGACAAATACGCCTTAGTGTGTCCCTGAATGTGAAGAAGTCTAAGCTAAAGTATTTTATTCACTGCAGGGAAATATTGGCTGGACTGAAAAGGCAAGACTCCCACTAATATCAGTAGAGCCCAGATTTTACCTCCAAGATCAGGATAAAAAATGAGGTCAAAGGAGTAGAATAAGGTGTTTATCCTTTATCCTCTTGCACCTTCTCATACTTCCTTTCCTTGCTATAGCTCTGCCTTTTAGTACCTGTAAATTCTTTCACTGCCCAACCAAATGCTCTGTGCAAAGAAACTCCCATCAGTAGGCTACTTTCCTGTAACAGAGATGCTCAATTGCTTCTGGATGTTCGTTATCTAACGTGTATATCATCTGCCAGTGTCCAAGATCCACATCAAATATAAACATGGATAATTTTGAATAGAGATGGACATTCTGCACTGCAAAGGCTGGGTCCTGAGGTCTTTACCAGTGAGCCCAATTGCCCAGAACTTTGGCCATGTGAAATACCCTTGCCAAATACATTCTTCTACCTTTGGCTGTACAGGCAATAAGAAAGTAAGAACACAGCTTCTTTCTACTTTTAAGAATATACTGATTGGTAGCCTGTAACAATTCCAAATGACAGGAATCTATTATAACATTACTCTTTTCTCAATAAATGTTTATTTATAAGAAATCAGTGCTCCCCACTGGACCTGTTCTCCCCATAGGAAATGACAGGCGTATGACTGTCTTAAGTAAAACTTACTGATGCATAAAGTCTGCCCCTTTTGTTCATGGCCAGGTATCTGCCAGAGAACAAGCCCTTGATGGCAACGATTCCAACATCAACAGCAGTTATTTCAAGAATACCTAGAAACAGAAACAGTTATGAGATAAGTTGCTCCCCTTCACGTGTGATTTTTTGAGATACATTTGAATGACTGCCTACCTGCAGAGTATGATTTCACAGCTATGACTATCTCACACCAAAATCATAGTGCAATCATGAATGAAACAAGACTATTATTTGAAACAGTATAAAACAATGATGATGTGGGAATTGTTTGAGACAAGCTTGACAATAAATCCCTAGATGTCTGATTGAGATTGAACTCTTTCAAAAATGAAAAAGATCTGACACTGAACTAGAGGTTCACTTAATCCTATATGTATATAAAAAAGTTTAAATCCTCTTTAATGCTTAGGAACACAAGAGCTCTTGACTTACTGAAATCAGTCACAAAGCTGTCCATTTCAGGACAAAGCCCTTGCTGAGGTCTCCAGAGGGTAAAACAGAGTGAGTCGGCTGCATTTTAGAGCCATGTCTATAATCATGAAAGGAACTTGTCATTTAGGAGGTCAATGTAGCCCTCCAGACAAAGACAATATGACTGTCTGAGCCAAATTAAAAGGGAGGAGATTTTCAGGCCGTCAAAGATGGGGTCTCAAACACAAGAAGAGTGTCACAGGTGAGGCTGGCACAATACCTGCCAAAATGTTTATGTCCAGCCAAAGGTGCCATGATGCTGATGGCAGCACAAATGGCTCAGGAGATGTTGTGTTGTATGTGCAGGGCTCTCTAACTGGCTCGTGCAAACTCCGCTTTCAGTTCTCCAGCTGTGGTCTGATGGCTTGGTACTTTCTATGAGCGTTTGGAGGCGAGAGGTGACCCTTGCACCCAAACCCATTCCTGCCTTTTGGCAATAATAAAGCAGAGCCAGGGGCCTGTCCCCTTTGCAGAGCTAGATTGCTGGCCTGACCGTGTCTGGGAGAGTTGGGGTGGTTTTGGTACAGCTGTTTTGAATCAGGCACCGGTTCGCTGCTGAAGGATGCCTCCTCCAGGCTTTGATAGCCAGGGGGTTTTCCTCTAGGAAATAGTGGTTTTCCTTTATGGACTTCAGACAGATCCCTGAGGTCTCCCTATCTCTGTGTGCCATCACCAGCCGGGATTTACGCTTCCTGGGGTGGCGGGGCCGGGGCGGAGGCCGGG